TTGAATTTTAGCTTTGTTGACGCGATCACATATATACGAGCGAGAGAAAAACAGAGTTTGTCGAAATTGTTTTCCCTTTTAATGTAACTCCTAAGACAAGAGGAAGCTTATGGTTCTTAAAATTAGTAAAAAGTTGTCTTGCTGCATATTATTCTGCGTTGAGTTCGGCGGTAGCTTCATCATTCATCTCCTGGAAGTTGTCCTTGCTAGCGACTCGCACTTTCATCCTCCTGAGGAGGGGGATGATGTGTTGAAGACGATCGATTATGTGTTCCTGATCAACTTTGGTATCAATCTGGTCAATCCTTTCAACGATAAAAGTATCTACCAAAGTCATTGCCGCTTCTTTCTGAGCATCAAAATCATCCTCCATATTAAGTTCAAATCTAGGTCTCATAGGTTCCACGGCTCATTGCTTTTATCTTTTCGCGCCGATCTATTTTGAAAAATTTTATGTACAACTTTTCATATAAATTTTGTATGCTTTTTATTCACTAAACTTTTAGTATTAAATTAGCAAAATATTTTGTAATTTCGTCTTAGGCCTCCACTGAAAAATATTGAGTACAAAGAATAAAGATGCATAAGCTAAAACCGAGAAGCAAAAAAATTTTGGTTAGATTTTTTTCTCACACTAAACCAATCATAATTAGGATTTTCTATTTCTACATCCGCAACACATGTGTAAAGAATCAGATGGGTTCTTAACTTCCTCGATCACCAATGGAACAAAGATTTAGAAGCCTTCAGAGTACGCCATTCAAGTGAGGCCAGAAAACTTGTCTTGTAGGGATATGCACTCGCTTTTTAGGTTTTCGGCCGATTGCCATTTTTCTTCGTACTCTCTTGAAGAGAAGAACAAAGAAATTGAAGATTTTTTTGGCGAGAAAAATGAAGAAACAAAGAAAAAAGAATGAGGAGATGGTTGCGTTCGAGGAAATTAATAAGTAGAGAGTCAGCGTTCGAGGAAGAAGAAGAAGATCGAGAAGGATTTGAACGAAGTTGGAAGAGCTTCTCAAACTTGATTTTGGAAAAAGATGCATTTATAATAAAAATGCTTTTGATTGAATACAATTTTACATTCATTCAAAAACAAAAAAAAGTTGGAGGAGCTTTTTAAACATACGTGATCGATGATGTTGGGCTTGTCATGTCGGTCTAAGCAGTGCCGATTTAGATGGTAAGCGAGAGGGGGTGAGCCCATTTAAAAAAAAAACTGCATAATTATACAGGAAAAGACTCATTTAAAATATTTTTTTTTACCAAAGCTAAAAAGAGAATCATTTGCAATAATAAAAAAAAACTATAATTAGGAATCTAGAAAAACCTT